ACATAAAATATATACTTGGGGGCAAAGACATGGCCTAGCAAGTAAGGCTTCTGATTGTTATGCTAACAATCAACATGGGTGCCGGTTTGAGTTTTGGTGGCTTCACTTCTGATCCAGCTCCCTGCTAATAGCCTGGGAAAAGAAGAAGATGACACAAAAGCTGCTGTAACCCATGTGGAGGAATAGGGATTTTTTAAAATCAATTTTAAATTTCAAATGTGAATGCTAAAAAATGAAGGTTAGCCTCCATAAGAATAAAAAATCTAATGTATGACTTCTGAAAAAATCACTATAGATATAATTTAAGAAAGGCAGAATAAAAGAAAAACTGACAATAAATAAATGAATAGGAGGCCAGAAAATAATTCAGTTGACAGGAAACCACACATCAGTAAGAAAAATGCAAAAATAGATTATGCTTATCACAACTTTTTCAGGTTAGATTGAAAAAATAAAATACCATCTCGGGTTTTTTTTTAGAGACATATCTAAATTATTACACAGAAATACTGCAAGCAGGGGATGTAAAATAATACTTTGGGCAAATATTCATCAAAGGAAAGTCAGTATAACAAGTGAAATCGCAGGCAACATAAACAATAAAGAAAAACTTATATGTAAAGGATGTTAGTCCATAATAACAAAGGAAACAAATCATCGGTGGGACAAAATCTGGATCCTGTATCTCTCTAATGATACAACTCAAACACACATAAAGCAAGGTGGAAGGACATCTGGTGCCGTGGTTAAGTCAGTGCTTGGGATATTTGCATTTCCTATTGAAGCGCCTGGTTCAAGTCCGGGCTAGTACACTGCTTTTAAGTGTGTACCCTGGGAAGCAGCAGATGATAGTGTAAGTACTTGTATCATTCACGTGGGACACGGACTATGTTTTGGGTTTCTCACTTCAGCCCAGCTCTGACTTTTTCCACATATTTGCAGAGTGAACTAGTAGATGAAAGCTCTCTTTCTGTTTCTATTGGCCTTGCAAATAAAACTCAACAGAAACTAACATATGAGGCATAATAAATCTTCAATAACATTTATAACATTTACTATTTGAATGTATTTATAGACTCATCCTAGAGAAAATACTTTACCTGCAGAACAAGCATGTCTCACATACAAGGACACAAAACAGGTCAACATGTGACAAAGAATCTTCATCATATAAACCGATATTTTCGATTGTTAAACAAGCAGCCCCAACGTTCTCCTGTTTAGAAATTCTGTTTTTTTTTAAACAAATTTTTCAGAGACAAGGAGACAGAATGACACAGAAAATTCACATCAACTTGTTTACTCCCCAAATGCTGGTGATAGCATGGACTGGGCAGAAGCCAAAGCTAGGACCCAGGAATCCAATGCAGCACTGCCTCCCAGGGTGGGCATTAGTGGGAAGCTGGAGTCAGGAGCCAGAGCTTGGAATCTACTTTAAGACATCTGAACTGGAGTCTTAACTACTAGGTCAAACACTTACCCATTCTGAAACCTTACACAGTAATTTTCAATTTATATTTCAATGCATAAATCCTAAAGGAGATTGCAAACTTTCTAAAACCAACAGCTAAGAATTGTTCATCAAACCTGAACAGCAACTAAAGTAGCACTAAATCATAATTTACAGCCTTGCCTGAAAATATTACAAAAGTTGATTTAAAGTGTTAATCCACTAAGAATCACAAAAGAAAAAGAAACCAGAATAAAATAGGAAGAAACAGAGTAGAAATGAATGAACTAGACAATAGGGAGAAACCAATCAAAGGCTGCTTCTTTTGGAAAGACATAAAATAACTTTCCAACATGCACAAAAAGCACAAACAGTATTAGGAATAAAAAAAGGGAACAAAAGTAGATGCCATTAAGTTTTCAAAAAGCAAACTTGAACAATTTCATCAACTTGAAAGTAGAAGAGATGGACAATGTTCTAGGAAATACTTGGGTGGAAATATGGGACACAAAGGACAATTGTTATGGTCAGCTAGGACTGAACTTACTGGGAAGAACATCACAGAAAGAAAGGTCTTTGAAGATGGGAGGCCTTGGGAGAAGGCATGCCAAACAGGAAAAATGAAAGCAAGGGAGAGGGAGAGGGAGAGGGAGAGGAGGGAGTCAGCTACACTCAAGTAAACAGGATAGACATGAACATAAGGTGGAAAATGGAAGCAGCGGCCAAATACTGGAGCACAAAGCTTCCACACATTGGAATCACCTGGGAGCTTTCAACAGCAACAACAAAATTCTCACTGGCTAAGCCAGTCCTCAGGAATTCAATCTCTGGGCTGGGCTGTAATTACATTTCTCAAATATCTAAGTTTTGTCCAGCAACTCTTAACACTGACAATGTGTGCGAGCAGTAATAACAAAACCTTTGATTTGTGTATTTTCTGTTACTTTAATTTCACATTTTTTAAATGATATGCTGTAATTATTTTCTTCTGTCGACCCCAAATCTTTGCATATTTAGCAAATGTAAGCTAATTGTATTAGAATCAGCACAATACAAATAAAAGACAAAGACCTTCTAAAATGAATCAAAACTGGAATCAAGGCATTGCTTTTGCTAGGACAAAAAGCCTTTTGATGGTTTGGATTATCTGACTCATTGTTTTCACCTCTCCTCAGAAGGGCAGGTAATCAAGAACTGGCTGTAGGTGCACGTTGGAGTCGATCCAAGGAGCCCCAGGTAGCCTGGCCTGGGTCATTTGAACCTCATGTGTGTTGGAGCTGGGCTAGTGAGCCCCAGAAAGGGGATGGGCACAAACTGGGCCAGGTGGTCTGAGCCATTAATAGTGCCCATGAAAGTCCATGGGCTGCGAGCAGTGTACTTATCAAAAGTTGGGGGTGTGGGCTTGTAGGGGGATCGGACAGGTGGGTGGCATGTGGAGACCTGGAGGCTCATGGCCAGCTGAAAAATGACCTCTGAGGGACCTGCACATACACGGCTACTGTTTTTTCTGATCTGAGCCTCCATAGTGGCTTAGGTGGAGCCGTGGATGGTATACCCCAACACAAATGGACATGGCAGTCCATTGGAGCCTGCAGAGGACATCTGATGCCATAGTAGAGGATGGAGGGCAGATTTTCCAAGGAAGGGGCTCAGGGGATGTGCGGGAGAGAGGACCACTGGGCGAGTATGTTGCAGGTGAGGAATGACTACTGAGGGACTTCCATCAACAAGGCCATGGTATTTGTAGGTAAGTCGGGGGCTGAGACTAAGCAATTTGGAGGAGGGACCTGCAGGACCTTTAAGGGTCAGACTGATATACCAGCCCATATGGGAGATCGGGGCTGGGCTAGTTGGCATCAGCAACTGCTGATCATCACTCACTGGCAGACACTAAAACTAGTGCTGGGGGCCTACCCAGCAGGACCTGATCACAATACCCACAGTGACAGATGGAACAGGGGATGGGTAATGTTAGGCTGGGCCATGACACTAACCAGCATGTGAGAGAATCAGGTATGGGGCAGATTCTGTGGAACTGCAATTTCCACTGGTTTGCTTAAGAGCTGGGGATAGTGATAAGCTGAGCTAGGCATATGGAACCTTCCAACACTCATGGATATGGGGTTTGGGTATAGGCCAGGCAAGACTAAGCTGTAGCACCCACAGGCACACTCAAGAATAGGGTATAGGGCAGACCAGGCCACAACATCCACCAGTTCATACATAGGCCAGGATAGAGGGGGAGACTATGCCGGTAAGGGCTTAGCATCCCTCACTGGGCCCATGTGAGATCTGGGTGTTGGAGTGGGTCTGGTGAGGAAACTCCCTGGTGGGTCGTAGTTTCCACTGGTGAGCATGTGATTCAGGTCTAGGTGTTGGTCAGACCAGACAAGGTAGTTTCCACCCATCAATAAATGCGTGGGTTGGTTCTTGAGGGAGCAGACTGGGCAGGACTGGGCCAAACCTTAGCACACTGGCATGTGCAGGAGCCAGGCTGAAATGCAGATCCATGCCAGGCTAGGTGGCAGCACCTGCCAGTCAGAGTTGGGACTGGGGGTGGGCAGGGACAGGCCAGGTTGCAGCACCCGATGGCAAAGGACAAGACAGGAACGGGCTATGCTGACTTGGATCAGAGCAACCACTGGCACATGCGAGATCTGTGGCTGGGAATAGGCCTGGTTGGGGAGCAAAGGGGACACCCTGGCTGGGCTGTGGGTTTTGCACTACATTTGTTTCCCTGAAGAGCTCTCTGGCTAATTCTCCAAAACTGTTGACCTTTCCCAGGGGTGGACCTGACGGTTTGGGAGTGCCTCTTGTAAGATTTACCCCATGCTCAGTTCAGGCTAGCACATACATAGACAGAATGCAATTTCATCCTAAGCACAGGCTGTTCTAGAGGGAAGGAAGAATGCATTAAATCCACTCAATTTCAATAGTTTTTTTTTTATGACTAATCCAAAAAATGATTGCAGATAATATAGTCTATGGCCATTATGCTAAAATGCTCTTTAAATCAAGTGTAAACATTTCATACTTTAGGACAAATTGAAGCAGTGGGACAACTGAGTGGTACCACATAGTCTCTTCTCTAGATTACATCTAATCAGTCCCACTGAGGGAAAGAGAGGGAAGGGAAGAATGCAAACATCTTAGAAATGAGAAAGGAAAGAACAGGTGCTCATTTCCTTCGTAAAACAAACAAACAAACAAAGGAACCAAAAAACCCTCTACTTTATGTGTTTATTTCCACAGGCCAGAGGATTTAAGAGATCTAGAATAACACAAGGTCTCTATTTCTGCAGCTGATAATATATCTTGTTCATGATAAATGATTCCAGTTTCTGAAATGTCCATAATTAAAACTCTAACCACCAGCTTTTAGGACACATGATACAGCTTTTAGGGGGGCTAGGATAGGAACCTGTGTGGAGGGGGTGTCATGTCAGGTCAGCAGTCCCCAATACTCCATAGAGCATGTTGCAACAGAAATACATGTTCCAAAACTTTCAGCATGATCAAAGAGCAAAAGTAGAACACAGCCATTTGTCACTGCTCTATTTATTAATACATATATCACAAATGTTCACAATATCAATGCATTCTTGTTGGCATGCTAGACAGAGGCATTTTTTTTAAAGAACTTTTAAAAATATTTTGACTTTTGTTCCCCCTTCACACTCATTTTTAAATGATCAGATGAGGTCCTCAATGTCTTTAATGTCAATGCAAGAAGAAAAAAATACAGAAAGAAGTAGTAAAATGACGCAATCACAATTAATTGGGGAAAACAAAAGTGATGTCATCGCCTTTACAGGAAGCAACAATACAGCTTTGTAACAGGATTATACAGGTTTCAACCGAGAGGCAAAGGTGCACTAAACTATCTCTACATAGCCAGATATGGAACAATGAGAAAGGAGGCCACCTAATTGCTCACAAACTTCTTTCATGCATGACACATGCTTCTCTCCTCCTCGTGAGCAATTACCGAGGTGTCTCCTTACATGTGGCAGGCAGCCTGAAGAAGGTAGGAAACAGCCTTAGGAATGGGAAAACCAAACCAAACAACACTTAGCCAAAAGAACAGGTAACTATTGTCTGCTTATCTATGTAAGTAAAAGTGTGTGGCTTTGATTGACCACAGCTGGCGAGGGGCTTAGAGGAGCCTCCCACACTACATGCAAAGCCCAGCAGGGCCAGTGAAGGTGTGATAACCAGTCACCTAGGATGAGCTGCAGGTGGACCAAGTACAGTTGGAAGAGCTGGTACACACAGGGCCTCAGGGGGAATTCACTAGGACTAGCTGCAGGGAGACCTGGCTACACTCTGGCACAACAGGGCTTCACAAGATGGACACTACACAGGATGAGTGCTGTAGGGCGAAGCAGAAACTGGGTGGGAGTGTCAGCTGCACGCAAGGGTGGGGGTGGGGTAGCAGAGCAGGTGGATTATGTACTGTGCTCTAACATTCTTTGGAAGTCTTTCAAAGAGTGCTGCGGTTTCATTTTAACACAGGCCTCTTATCCCATTGTTCTTGAAAGACTAAGAGAAAAATTGAAACATGTAAGTAATTCATTATTACTAAGAACTTGAAAACAAATCAGGTAGCAAATTGAAAAGAGCATTTCCACCATTTTTCTAACTGGATCAGTCACACTTCCTCCCCAGCCCCATGGAAAAGAGATTTCCACATGTGGATAAGTACCACCAAATAAGGTAGGTATAGAGCCAGACAGTATGTCAGCTTAATTGAAAGGCAACATGTGTCACAAAGGGGAACTCCCAACATTAACACACACACATACACATACCCCCAACACTGCCACTCACCTTCTCCTTACACCATCTCATATTGATTGGCCGTGATGAACCGGGACAGACAGCAGGCCAGCAGCATGCCAATCAACTGTTGCCAGAGAGAAAACCATAAAAGAAAATCGTAGGTCACTAGACTACACCATACTTGGATTCATAAATGTTATTTTCAAACATTATTTTAAATGATAAAAAATTGCACTTGTTTATGGACATGATATGATCTTTTGATACATGTACATTCCAAGACATAAATTTTAACCCCTCAGAGTTTCTGGATGTGAAAAGGACAAGACAAAAAAGATATCAAATCTGATTCTATTTGTAAGATCTAACCTGGAAGGAGCCTCAATACTGGGTGAGGGCCAAATGGAGGTTCTAGAACTAACCAAAGGTTTCCAGCTCTAACTCCCTCTGGCTATGTAAGAGCAACTTTTGACAATTTAATCAGTATTAAAATTTGCTAGTGCTGGGGTGTGTCATAAAAAATTAAGTCACACAACTAGTGAGACATAAATGAAAAGGGCTAAATTCAATTCAAAGTCACAAGCAAATGCATTTGGAAGATTTCTCAACCTACTATGAAAATCACATCATACTTGGATGACAAAATAACAGATCTTTCCTTGAGACAAGAATAAAAGCACTATTTTTTAAATTAGGGCTCTTTTCCACTGAGTTAAGGAAGCAATGTCTTGTGAGATGTAGAAGGGAGGGGGAGAAAGAGAGGCTTTAGCTTCTCCTTGTCTATCATGTAGATACAAGCCTAGGTGTGCCCACCTACACTCATGCCCTACCCCCCATTTTTCTCAGGGATCCAAAACAAGCCTATCTCCCTTCTCAGAAGACTGTGGGCCTCTACTTCTCTTAGTGCTTTAACCTGTTGCACAGCACAGGTGAATCTGACAGAAATGGATAAGATACTATCAGGTCACACTTAAACTTTCTTGATCTGCTTCTTAGAAGCCAAATTTCTCATTCATGAATCTGGAGGATTAACATTCTTTGGATAAGAACCCAACTGTGCACCTGAGACTGGAGGCTGCCTTCTTTTGGCCAATGTAATTCTCTGTACTGAATCAGAGTGAGTAGGAATGACTTAAACATACAATCTGGTCCAGTGTCACTCAAAGTGTGTCCCCAGGACCAACAACAATAGCATCACCTGGGACCTTGTTATATATATACCCAAAATGCTCCAAATCCCCAACATTTGTTGAACCAGACACTCTGGGGTCTGAGGCCCAACAACTGCTGTTCTATAAGGCCTCCAGGGAAAGCGAATTATTCATCCAATCTATTTAGTCACTCTGATTTTACAGGTGAAATACCTGCAGTTACAGCGCATCATCTAACTGTTAGGGCAACACCTGTACTAGTTTCTCCTGACTCTTAACCAATTCATGCAGATTCTGATCCCTGATTCTCATATTCCTTTCCAAAAATTAAAATTTTGCTGTAAACTGTACAAAGTTAACCTCTTTTATGTAAGAAAAAAAAAGCCATCATCGTGTTGGACTCATCCAAAGGCTCAAGCCAACATCATTTTGTACCATAAAATCATATCATGCATTTTGCATCAACTGGTCAAAACTAGCATGGCTGTATCCTCCAGAATATTCTGCCAAATGAGAAACTAAAAGCTTCCCTTGACTAACACAAGGACTTCAAACTTCATAGCATGTCCCTTTTCATTAGAACAGCCATTTTGCAGGATCAACAAGCACCAAAACATGTTCGGAGGTATGTAACAGTACAGAATGATAAACTACTGAGTGTTTCCATAAGCCTGTGAGTTTAAAATCCCAATTTCCTAGATATGAGAACAGACTCAGGAGAGAGTAAGTGGTGTTTCCCAAAGCACACAAGCCATCTACAAATAGCTTAAACTTATGTCCTCTCTCCCCATCCAGGAATAGCCATGATTTTATCCTGCCTTCTACATAGAAAAGGCAGGCAGGCAGGCCCCCATCAGGGCCTAGCAGGCTATGTGCCATGGGGGAGGTCATGCAGGGGGTGATGGTCAGGGCATGGATGGGTTGAAGCTCTATTTTCAGCTGAATGACTTTTTGCTTCTAATTCCACATTCCCTTGGTCATAAAAGAGCACAATGAATTACCTTCAGGTGCTATGTGAGGGCAGAAATAAGGATGATCTTCACCTTAGTGTTTATTATGGCAGACTAGGGGAGGATGTCAGAATCTGAATCCTGTATCTACAGCCGTGACCCAACCTCAAGCAAAGCACTGAACCATGCCCTTCTGGAGAGCAGCTCAGTCCTCTGCATGATAACGAATGCCAATCCTACCAAACATGTTCCAAGTATAGCAAAGCCTTATGTCTGTTAGCCTTGGCTTCTCAACTGCTAAAAACAGTAGCCCAGAAGGCACTCCATCTCCCACCAAGCACATCAACATCAACACACACACAGAGTCAAACCAAGGGATAAAACAGCATTACAAATTAAGCAACACAAGGCACCCTGTATCGCCTGGCTTTCAGGCCCTATGGAGGTGGGAAGTGTACATGCACAAAAATGAAAGATGCATGAGTTACAATGTGTGGGTGAGAATACTCATAAAAGCCCCACAGCATATACTGGAGAGTACTTGCATGCGCGTGTACGTGACACAGCAAAGCAGCAGAGAGCATACGCAGGGAGAGAGGGGTAGGAGAGCACGTTGTGAGTAAACACAAGGAAAGCACAGTGTGTAGGAGGCAGCACCTGCAAGACAGTGTGAGTGCACATGAGAACAGAGAGCACACAAGGCAGGACAGGGAGACAGCACTTGCAAAGAGTAATCGCCAAGAAAGCAGGCAACACCACACCAGAGCACGAGAGGCCAGGGACTGCTGGAGTGCAGCATAGGATGGGCAAGAGTGCATGTGGTAGCACTGGGGAGCAGAGAGTAGAACAGCACATGACTGTAAGGGGGACAAGTGCAACAGTGTTCCGGAAAGAGTGTGCGTAAGGCAGTCTACGAGACTGAGCAAATGTGGTCCCTACCCCTACATGCTTTCTCAAGCTCTCTCCTCCTAAGTCCTCCTGAGAGAGACAGTCGTGGCCCAAGACACATGGAAAAGGGGCCCAAATGCAACATACTTGACCTCCTGCTATCATTTACAGAACAGCAGGACCTCCTCACCCAGTTCTAGCACGTGAGCTTTTCCTGGACAGAACAAAGACACTGGGCACTGGTGCTGAGAAGTGTGAACTGTATGACAGTGTTCTGCTAGCCAAATAGGGGGCTCAACCTTGTGAAGGCAGCTCACAGGGGACAGAGTTCTTTTACAGACTATGAAAAGCTGATACTTGGCTCTTCTGGTAATTTATATTATTCTTTGAGCCACAGGAAAGGTATTAATCAGATCGTTTAAGATTCAGAGAAGGACACGTTGAATGTAGTTCTTATGTGCGCAAGTAGGACCTTCCTCTCCGCTACACAGACACACGTGACTACAGGAGAATATTCTTGGCAAGACGATACTTCATCTGCCATTCTAGGTTTGTCGAGGCTCCTTGCTCCTCACCTACAGTCCTGACATCATGGTTGTTTTTTTTTTTTTAAGGGTCTAGCACAGCCATTGGCGGAGACTTCAACAACATTTCTTCCTCCAACAGACGTTACACACGTATTACCCTCAAGGCTGTCCACAACACCTGTACATTTCCATCAATCATGAGGCCCAGGAGCCTCCAAAACGGACCCCAGCAATGACAGAGATGATACCAAGTGCTCTTATTGAACTATTTCAGCAACTGAAAGGAAGTTCAGGGCCGCAATTGCTCTTGAAATGGCTCTGGAGAGTGAGTCATTGGCATCGTTTGTGACCCCCCCCCCCACTGTTTTTTTCTGTGTGTTGGTATGTTAACGGCTGAACTCATTTCATGGCTGCACATAAAAAATAAATGAAGCATGGTAAAAGAATTCTCAAGAAACACACTTGTGCCTGCAACGCCCATGTGCTCTTGCAGAATGCAACGTCACATAGGGAAGAAAGGCATTTCCGTGTCTCCAAGGGTAAAGTCTCTACTTCCAGTGGCAGATTATCCGGCTGAGATAATCCTTGATCTCAGCAAAGGATACACAGATATATTCATTTGTGAGCATTTAGCAAACTGTAAGATTACAATTTATGTACTTTCCCACTGGTTCCATATCTTAGAGAAGTTTTAGAAGCAAACATGAACAAAATTGGAATGTGTCTGCATTCCTTGGTACATTGGGAGTAGGTGGGGGGCATTCAAGCAAGAAAGCTGACGGAGAAACAAGGACTGTGCGGTAGCCTAGCTGCTAAAGTCCTTGCCTGCCCTGTACACACCAAGATCCCATATGGGCGCCAGTTCTAATCCCAGCAGCCTGCTTCCCATCCAGCTCCCTGCTTGTGGCCTGGAAAAGCAGTCAAGGACGGTCCAAGGCCTTGGAAACCTGCACCCATGTGGGAGAGCCAGAAGAGGTTCCTGGCTCCTGGCACTGGATGGGCTGGGGCAGAAGATCTTCCTCTCTGTCTCTCCTCCTTTCTATATATGTAACTTTGCAATAAAAATAAATCTTAAAAAAATTTATTAAAAAACACTGCTGAGACAACACTAATTGTGCTTTATTTGAAAAGTGATCTGTTGTTACAATGAAAAAAAAGTCTGTGTTAGCCTTAAACTTTGGATGTAGTTACTTAGCATACAGGCCACACCTTCCGCTCAAAGCAATACTATAACAAGCATGGAACGTAATGCTGGAGGACGAGAAGTCTGTTGGCAGCTGTTGTAAATCAGAATGCTGTCTTCAATCTTTCAAGGAAAATGAATTTATTATGGAGCAGGGTGGCAACTATCTTGCAGGACAGTACACTGAGGAGAAGGAAAACAGGGTTTTTACAGATCATGCTATGTGCACAAGAGCAGGGTGGTCACTGGTAGCAATCTGTTAATTCTAAAAGCAATAACATCTCGGCAGACAACGCGAAAGTTACCAAGGTCAGCATGCCCTAAGACAGACAATAACATTAAACAGGCCACAGGCTCTTAGCTTTCCAAGAGCCTCACCCAAACCTGCACTTTGCAGAGTTCGTGGCTGGGCCTGTCACCGTTGTCTGTCTTAACTGATCCATATCAGCAGCAGCCTGCCCAGTAGACGTAAACTCAATCTCAAGACTTAGCTTAACATTTGTTCCATCCTTGAGTGTGTGTGACTTAGTTAATTTGTATAATTAGGGGATGTTGTTGTGTTAAGTCACTTCCTGTAGCAATGGCACCCATATCAGACTCCCAGTCCAAGTCCTGGCTACTCTATTTTCTATCTAGCTCCCTGCTAAGGCACCTGAGAAAGCACCGCAAAATGGCACAGGAGCTTGGCCTGCTGCCACTCACATGAGAGACCTGGAGGGTGCTTCAGGCTACTGCTACCATCTAACCCTGCTATGGTTTGGGCCATTTGGGGAATGAACCAGTAGAAAAAAAGCTTTCTATTAATCTCTTTCTCTGTATCAAATCCCTCGCCTTTCAAATAAATAAATCTTTAAAAAAATGTATACCTATTTCTTCCATCATTTTTAAAAAGAAGGTATGGGGATAACGGAATATAAAATTCCAAATGCAAAAATTTGATTTGCCCTTAAGAAATAGACTTGTCAAATCTAAAGATTAAAGTAATGATCCCAAGATAAAGCTTGCTAAAATAAGGCTTTCTGTTAAGGGAGCAATTTCGTGCATAATCCATTAGAACAAAGAAGGGACCGGTCAATCAGGAACAAAAGCATTCCCCAAATCCAGATCAGCCATTTGATGTTTTGAGTTGTTTATGCTCCAATTAAGCCAGCAGGTTGTTCAGTTAACCTCCATTTGACCTACAGAAAAAGCAAGTTGTTTTGCTGGGGCTAGTCATTAGTTGAACTGTAACTGATATTCCCTTGATGACAAAACTTCATTTAAGTTGAAAAAGGAAAATCAATGAACGGATGACCTGAGGACTAACGAGCAGGGAGCTCTGACCCCATCCATCGGCCTCTCCCAAGGCGGGAAAAAGCTGGAGGGGAACTCAAAGGCCAGGGGAAACAGGGAGGGCAGGCAGGCTTTGCCCAGCTGTGCAGGCTACCTGAGAGAAGGCGATTCCAAACGCAACTCCAGCAATGATCCCCATGTTTGTCTCCATGAAACTGGTCACCAGATCATAACAGCCCTGCAAAGAGAAAGACACAGTCAGGGAGATGTTCTCCCAAGGCCAGGCTGGGCTATGTGCACTTACAACACTCCCCCATACATTTAGTTTGGCAACTACAAGGGCAACTCACCGTGGGAATTCACTGGCAATCATTTCAAACAAAAGAAAAATAACAACAACAAAATCAGAGATACTATAAATATAAAGTGTAATTGAACAAATCCCCACATGTCCCTTCCCATAACATCACAACATATGACCAACCTTGTGTCACCAAAACCTCCCAGACTCTCATTCCCAGCTGGATTAATTTAAAGTGAATGCTAGACATATAATTTCATCTACAAGTGTTTCAGTAGTAGGATTCAATTTAGCCAGACATCTGTAAGATTTACCCAAAGACTGGAACCGATAAGAAGATATTCCAAATACTTAACCAGGAAACCACATCATAAACAGTAATCAGCATCCCCTGACAATGAGTGACAATATCCTGAAATAACAGCATGAAATCACGTGATTAGAGAGAGGTGTTTGAAGACTTGCCAACATTATTTAGTTGTAAATTTCTTCCTAAAGAGACCATTATGGCTTTGTGGTTTTGTTTTTTTAAATAGGCAAAAGCTACATCCTAAAATCATCTCCAAAAATTCACTACTTATCCTTCAACCAGTGACCTTCCCTGAATGGGTGTCAGTAACTTTATTTATAACATGAAGTTCTTTTCCTTTTAACATATTATGAAACTTTTTAATGCCATGATTAAATTCAAGCATTATTGGCCATTTCAATGTCACTTTAAAACCGATAACCCAAAAGATGTTTCTTGAAAATGAGTGATCAGTTGCAACTCAACCATAGTAAGCAGCAAGTATTTGATTATTGTGATTCTGGATTACATTTTTATAGTCCTGCAGCAGGAAGGAAACAGCACATTTTGTGTATCACCCATAATACAAAGGTGAAAGCGGAAATCCCCGACTTTCAGGTCAGACAGCAGGGGTAGGAGAGAGAGTGTATGCACGCACGCTTGTGTGTATGTGCACGAAACTGAACACAATCAATTTAGATGCCTGAGTTGATTTATTCAGCTAGAAAGACATGACCTTTCCCCAGTTTTCAGAAAAAGGGCTTTAGTGTAAACACTATAGAATCCATGAAAAATGAAGACATTAATGTCATAAACAGAGCAAAGGCTGTTCTGCTTACCAAGAAAGGCACACTAATTTGTAATAGCATCCAAAGGACAACAAAATTTCCAGTGCCTAACCACTCTCACAGTTTGCGAAAATTCTGCCATGCCACATCTTATACACTCACCGACCGTTTGCAGAGAGTAAGGTTTGTTAATCTGACAGCAGTGCCACGGCACATCTCTCAATGCAACTGACACACTCCTTAGTTATCTGATACAGTTGTGAAGGTCAGGGTGGGGTGGGAAAGGAAATGTATTATTTTGCTCATGGCAAGTTTTCAAAATTTGATTCTCTATGAGTAGGAGCTTGCTCTACCAGCAAAACTACATCACAGTGTTTTTTCAAAAGATAGTGGAATTGAGAGGAGTTTGTGTTAGGAAGAAATCAGGAGGAAATAATGATTCTCCACCTGCCCCGACACCTTTCTCTCACATCAATGTAATATTAATACAACGAGAACAGATTCAGTGTAGTTCACAAATATAATACTAAGAATAATAATGTATTCCTTTCACCTATCCCTTTGCTTCTTTTGTTCCTTCCTTCTTTTTTAGTTTTTTTTTCTTAGAGAAATTGTTTTTAATTAACATTACAGTCAGGACTTTATACTCCACAAATAAAAGAGAACAAGTAAAAACTAAACAGCAGTAGTACAGGAAAAGACTATACACAATAATCAAGTGGAATGTTTTTTTCACATCCCTAAAAGGCTTCAAGAAAGGGGTTTTCTGGTTGTTAAACATTTTACCATTTTTAAATTTAATTTTATTATTTTTTAATTGGAAAGTCAGATATACAGAGAGAGGGAGACAGAGAGAAAGATCTTCCATCCAAGGATTTACTCCCCAAGTGACCACAATGGCCAGAGCTGAGCCAATCTGAAGCCAAGGAGCCAGGAGCTTCTTCCAGTCTCCCACATAGGTGCAGGTTCCCAAGGCCTTGGGCCGCACTTGACTGATTTCCCAGGTCACAAGCAGGGAGCTGGATGGGAAACAGGGCAACCAGGATACAAACCAGTGTTCTCATGGGATCCTGGTGCATGAAGGCAAGAACTTTAGCTGCTAGGCTGCCACGCCAGGCCCTAAGCCATTTATCTTAAGATGAAGATAGTTCCTCCTATGTTAACATCCTTTAAAACTGTGGGTAGGGGTGGAAATTTGGCACAGTGGTTAAAACTCGGCTCAGATGTCCGTACCCGATACAGAAGTACCCTAAGTTTGAGTTCTCACTTTTTGTTTCCAACTCTAGCTTCTGGCTGATGCACACCTGGGAGGCAGAGGTGGTAAGTATCTGGGTCCCTGCCACCCACATGGGAGAGACCCAGATAGAGTCTCCAGATTGACTACTGGCTTCTGCTTGGACCAGCCCCGACTGTCGCAGGCACATGGAACACCAACCCCTCTGCCATTACTCTTCCAAATAAGTGAAGTTTTCAACAAACCTGTAGTATAACAGCTCAGGAAATGACATAATCAAGACTCAAGGCATTCCCACCACCACAACACGGATCGCTCCTGTCGCCAGCCTTATAGCCACACTCACTCTATTCTAACACTCTCCCACTGTTAGCAGTGGCTCTAGCCGCATTTTTCTCTGTGGCCCATCACCACTCTGTGTCCCCCTACAGTGAGAAGAGGAGGTCCAACCAGCACTCATGGGAGGCGAGCTCAAAATAAGGAAACACAAGCTTCACAACTGAATCCAGAGAGAAGCAAGATGGCCTATTTTCCTTCTCTGAAACTTAAGTTTCGTATGTACTTTTCCTCCGAGTTTCAATTCTACACCTACGCTGCAAATATTGTTTTAAAGTATGGCTTCTACTCTATTTTAGGAGATTCTACTAACAAGACGCTTGGTTTTTGATAAGACCCCTTCAATCGTCAAGCAAAACTAGAAAATTAATTACTTGGCATCTGAACAACTGTGGCAAAATGGCTTTCTCTTGACGTTGCTGCACAATGGGAGACTCTAGAATGTACAGCACTGGGAGCTTGTTCAACATGCAGAACCCGAGGCCCCAGCACAGAGCTGCAGAAGCTGCCCAACTGCCAGTGAAGCCTAACAAGCTCTCCACGTGCCTCCCATGCCCATTGAAGTTTGAGGGGCACTCTTCCACAAGAAAAGTCCACTCGCTATTCTTTTTTCCAAATAAGAAAGTAAATTAATGACCCATACCAGTAAATGGGATTACTTAAAATGAGAAGATGAAAATGATGTTAGTTTTTTTTTTTTTTTTTTAGTTCAATGTCAAAATAAAGGGTTCCCGTTTTGGGGTTTCCGTCTATTATTCACTACATGGCCCCATCAGTCCATTTTCCAGGTCTCAGCACAACTCTGTGCACTATGAGACCGGCTTTGGTAATACAACCACAGGCCATGTTTACATTCAGTCCTATAATTACCACTAAACTGCTTGTCTACCCACCACATTTTCTCTCAACTTTCTAATATGAAAGCGTGGTTCTCAGATGTGAGATAAATCTACAGAGACTTGCTAAGTCTCCAAGGAAACATCCAGAAACAGAAGAGTGAATTTGGTTACCCTCTCAGCATGTCTACATTGACAGTCACCAGTGAAAAACATCTACAAGTCGTAACTATCAGCGTAGCAGGCTGGTTCCAGACAGGTTCTGGGACGAAGTATCTCTGTAACTGCCAATCAGAATTACACCTTCCTCTTTCTCTGACAAATTGGCAAGAAAATCTTACTGTGTAGAGACTCAGCCAATACTATCAGCCAACTAAACCGGCAGACATTTTACCACCCTGCATGCAAAACCATAACAAAACCACCTCGACTAAACAATGGCCTGTTTAAATGTTCTTATTTGCTTCCTGTCTCCCAGTAATAACTATAATGTACGTTCCTCTGGTTGCCAGGCAGGAGCAAAGAATCATCTTTCTGTGCCTTTGGTGTGTAGGGATCAAAACACTCAACACATTTACAGAAACTATTCTTTATGCTAAATCACAAGATCCCATGTGACTGGAAGGTGGCAGCAGCGAAGCCTGTTGGGAGCCAGTAGTCAGTAAAGGGGAGAACAACATCAATGAGCATTCATTGCGACCATCACTGCCACATCCACATTGGCTTTCTTTCTCTAGTAGATGAGACATCTGAGAATCAGGAGAACTTGCACTAAATCAGAGTGTCTAATGCAACTTACAGGCAAATTTCAGTCTTCATTCACTATTCCTCTTTTGGAAGAGTCAAGTTGAAGAGTACATGGGAAATGAACTATAAGTTAAACATACCTTCAAAGTATTTAAGATGCTCAGGAAAGCAAAACAGGAATGTGGTAGAGGGGTGGGGAATGAGGTCATTATGTTAGTTGATAATGCAATGAAAAAAAAAAAGCTACTGTGTCTCTTGCCCTGTAAAGATTATAACTGCTATAATATTAGGGGTATGGCGCCAAACCTGCTCTTATATACTAACAAACGACCCTCCCTACAAGGACGTGGTGCATTATTTTAATAATATTATCTACTTCTGATCCAGCTCCCCGCTAATGGCATGGGAAAGCAGTGGAAGATGGCCCAAGTGCTTGTGCTACTGCCATCCATGTGGGAGACCTGGAGAAAGTTCCTGGCTTTCAGTCGGCCCAGTTCCAGTCATTGCAGTCATTTGGGGAATGAACCAGCAGATGCAAGATCTCTATGTTTCTCCTTCTGTCTCTGTAACCCTGCTTTCAGATTTTAAAAAGGAAGGAAGGAAGGAAGGAAGGAAGGAAGGAAGGAAGGAAGGAAGGAAGGAAGGAAGGAAGCCAGTATGTCATATTTGGAAGACAAACTTTCCCACCATCCCAGCTACATGTACATTATGTTAATGTAGTATAATGGTAAGTGGAATAAACCATTTTTTATGCCCTTAATCTGTGCCAGGCACTGTGCATTAGAGATTTTATCTCATTCAACTCTCATATCCACTACCATGGGCAAGAACCATTACCATCCTCATTTTGCAGATGAGTAAAGCAAGACTGAAAAAAGCTAAGTGACTTTCCCCAAATCATATACACAGCCGGCAACTCAGCAAGAATCAAATAGGAGTCTGGCTGCAACGTCAGTGCTCCTGACTTCTCCCGGTTCAATGTTCCAAGGAGGAGGACATATGGGTAAAAAGAAAACACCTCTACTGCATGTTGATGGATGCTGCTGCTCCAAATGACTTTCCGAGGTTCTGTTATGCCAAAGGTCTTGCTCCTACATATCACTCAGTGCCTGCCATAAATGAGAGAATCTAGCAGATGCCAGATACACTTGGCACATCACAAAATGGCAGTCTAATGACACATATGGGAGCTCTGTGGGGATGTCCAGGAAAAAGCCAGAAGTTGCTTTATTCACCAATGAGAAGTGAAGGAGGTTTCAAAGTTGGATTCATAAGAAAATTCCAGTAGAAACAGATGTTCCCTTAGCTAAGACAAGAAGCTGTCACTACTGTATCACTCTAACGAAACTCTCAAATAATAATTCTCAAATAAGAGAATGGGCTTCTAGAATGGCAATAGTACCTTGCACCAGTTTTGCTAAAATACCCATGTTATATCAGCTAAGTCCAGAATCTGGAGATAATGGCTAAGTTCCCCCTAGGAATTTATCAGTAGTTGGCCCAGAATATACAGAATCTTGAAGACACTGGGAGAACAGAATTTTATCTTAGTGACAAAGCAAATTGACCCACTGGCTGAATAGCTGCAGGTAAACTAAGTAGCAGAGTTTTGCCCTTTCTTTCACTTCACTATACATTTCTTTAACCATTGAAGAACATGGGTAGCCTTCACATGCAGTTGTTTCGTGTCTTCAACATATTTTTTTGCAAAGCAGAGTGTACAATCGCTTTCCCTCACAACTGAAATCTCACTTTCTTCATTTCAACTAGGTACCATATTTCAAATTTCTTTTAGCCCTGCTTTTTTTTTTCCCCCTTTCACGTTTCTATGAGCATCAGGATGTTGACAGTGAGTTGGACTGGAGTTGCTGATTTCCTTTCCTATGACAGTGAACTCCCTAAAATAAAGGCCACCCTCCTAGCAGAAGCATATGCTGTCTGTCAAGTCTACTCCCCTCTTCCTGCCAAAGACTGGCATCCAGCTGCGAGTAATTTTATGTTTAGATGGAATGTTAAGCAGAAGAAAGACACTTGGAAAGAAAAAAAGCCAACATTCTCTGTCTGAAACAAGCATCGGGGTTAACAGGAACCGTTTGCCAAACCTTCGTGACTGTGCCTGGGAGGTTCTTGCCGCAGGAGGTAGAACGCGAGGCTGATCTGAATGACAGATTTCTTTTGTGGAAGAGAGCAGCCTCAAGTGCCTCTTGCAGGCAATCGAGGACCATAAAGGAAGATCCTTGACTCCCTCTTGGATTCCCATTACTAACCTATTTGTCTTCATTTCACAGAAATACAGAAGTTTTTGCAAATATTCACCACTGGTGCCATGAAGGGCTGGGAAGAAGCAGATACCTTCTGGTTAACTTTGGTGGCGGCCATAGTCAGATTGTGTAGATCCTGGGCATTGCAATCAGTTTCGTTCATGCAGCAACTTGGGGGAATGCCGTGCTCCAGGAAGTAGGGGCTGGTGCTCCAGTTGGTGTAGTTCTGCACACCACAGCAGCTCAACTATTAACAAGGGAAGGGAAAATATCAAGAAGTAGAATAACAAAATGCTTCATTCACTCTCTTTCAACTCTTTAAAACAGGCCAAGTCTCTAAGATAGTATGTACAGGTGAGTCAAGATAAACTGAACCTCCACTGACAATTACGTGCACATCCAGGGAAAGTCAAACAGGAACATTAGTCTACATTACTCATCTGGTGGCTTTATGTACACATCAACTAAATCATGACTGGGGGTTGGGGCAAGGGAGACAGCGGCAAATGATTGTTTTAAAAGCTCAAATGGTTTAGAAAAAGATAAACAAAGAGGAAAGGGGAGAAAGCGAGCTGGGGTTGGTAAGCTACAGTCCATTAGTCACCTGATTTTGTAAATATTTTTTGAGACACATCCATGCCTTTTGGTTTATATGTTATCTGTGGCTGCTTTTGTGCTGCAGCGGCAGGGCTGAACAGGTGTAACAGAGTGTGCATGGCCCTAAAAGCCCAAGATATTTACTTTGGGTGCAATTATGGAAAAGGTTTGCTGACTCCTGATGTGGAAAAAAAATTTTTTTAATGGGGCAAAAATATAATTAATCTGGGAATTAATCTGGGAATCTGGGTCTATAATATATACTTCTTATGGTATTCTTCGGATTTTGCTTTAAGAGGTGAATATTTTACCAAAATAAAATTGCAACCTACAAACATATCTTCTGAAGTAAAATAATCAACAGAACAAAACAAAGTCTAAAGCCAGAAACTTCCTCAGGCTGGTCACCCTTAGTGATGGCAAAGAACACTCTAGAGAGTGGTCTTTCTTGGCACAAAATACTTGGAGAATTGGCGCCTGGACAAGTACTGGGTGTTCACTCTCCAGAATGGAGATGAACTAAGAGATGGAGAATGACTATCAACAGCCGAGGTGACTGGCACAATCTACCAAGTAGCCCACAAGGAAAAGCCAGCTCCCAGCCTGACCTCTTGTTCTGGAACTTACGCTGCGCTGCACATGGTCCACTGCCCGGCTCCTCTCATCATTGCCATTGTAATTCTGCATGGCATCCGTGTAAGTCCTGAGGAAGGTGTCCTTGATCTACGGAAGACAAGGAGAAATGTGGTTGCAATCCACAGCACAGCACAGCACAGCTCAGCTGACTCACATTCATACCAAATTCTCCATCGCTGAGACAAATTAGCTCAGAAAATTCACCAAGGGTGGTATTAGCTAAGGAATGTTCTGATTCCAGAAACCTGGCCAGTTAAGCAATCCACTAAAGAGCGACTAGCTGCTTTTTCTGCAAGGGCTATGAGGGGGAGCTGTCAAATCTCAGGCATGAATTTGCTAGGGATTTTCTTTGAACTGATCATGTCCATCGTTCTTTCCAGAATTTGTTCTGCCATCATACAGAACACTGATTAATGACAGGCCACTGTGGCAACAGAAAGACTGATGCTTTGTTCAAGAATCAATCCATTTCTAATAACACAGCCATGAAGCAAACACTCACTTACCTGTCTTTATTATGTGAGGGGAAATGCTGAAGGAAAAGAACTTTTCTTAATAATAAATGGTTAATAAAACCCTTTCTCCTTCTTTGGGAACATATTAGATCTTGGAATAATCTTCAATTTCTGTTCCCCTGGAATCTAATGAAAACAAAGTGCCAGGAGCCAGCACTGCGGCTTAGTGAGTTAAGCCACCACCTGCAATGCTGGCATTCCATAAGGATGCCAATTCAAATCCCAGCTGCTCCATTTATAATCCAGCTCCCTAATAAAGCAGCTAGGAAAACAGCAGAAGATGACCCAAGTATTTGGGCCTCTGCTGCCCATGGGGAGACTAGGATGGAGTTTCAGCTCTTTGCTTTATTCTCATCAAGCCCCAGCTGTGGTAGCCATTTCAGAGTGAATCAGCAGATGGGAGAGCTCTCCCTCTAGCTCTGCCTTTCAAATAAACAAGTAAAACTTTCAAAATAGAACATGTCAGGTATATTACCAGGCAAGCTGTCTTATTATTATAAAAATTGACCCCTAATTGGACCACTAAGAACCCTTACATGAAGTACAGTCACAGCGGCAGGCAAGAAGAAAGAAGGCAATGGCTCACATAGCAGTGAGTGAGGCTGCTGCTGCTGTCCCCAGTGTACTGAGATTGAGAATATGATGTGTGTATGTGTGTGTGTGTGTGTGTGTATGCTCACAGGTTTGCATGCTTGTGTGTTCAGGAAGAGGAATGAACAAATGATGCCACCTGGAATCCTGTCTCCAGTCCTGTGAAAACTAGCACAGTAGGAAGAGGGTGGGAAGCATGTATGAGTTCCCTGGAAGCCCCACCAAGCACAATAGCAAGCCTTGGTAACAGATGATGCTGGGTTTTCCAGAGCCACAGCAATCCTCTGCCTCGGTGTGTTTTCCATTGTAATTTTTATCAACTTTTCAACTGGTTTTACCACACTTGTGGGGTGCACACAGATTTATGAAGCAGCAAGACAACTAGTTCGGGGCAATTGATTCTACAGTTTCAGAAAGCTGTTATGCTGGCACGCATTTGTGTCCAGTTGAAGCAACTATTGTTAAAGGAGCATCTAATGAATACTAAAAGGCACTGCTTTGGAACAGGAAAGAAGATCATTTTGTCCAACAGTAGAGACGTTGACCAATTAAGATCTCAAGTTCAGTGACGTTCCTGCAGTTAGAATTTCATTGTAAGCGCAGGTCATTAGGAAAATTAAGCCTTGAACTGAATTTCTCTACTCACCTCATGACGAAACACAAAGCCTGAAATGCCAGCGACGAGCTCAGCCAGGAACACCAGGGACAGGAACATGGCATACTGAGAATTGAGTGGACAAGTGCAAAGTCAGACATGTCAGGAGTAAAAGGAGGGCTATTTCTGCCAAGAATCAGACAAGTCCTGATGCTCCCTATGCACAGAAGACTCAGAAGACATTTAAAATGTTCTCCAGGTTTCCTTGCCTGAACCTCAACATAGGTTTGTGTTGTTTTAACAAACATAGTGCTTTGGAAGGGGCATGCTGAGGAGAGCTCATCAAATGAATGTGCCTTTTCCCTTGCCTGAATCAGAGAAAATCTGGAAAGACCTTACACAACGAAGGCATATTCAACTACTTTGGAACACTAGAAACTTTGAGGGGGCTGGTGTTGTGAAATGTTTAGTTAAGTCACCGCCCATGATGCCAGTATCCCATGGGGAGTCCCAGTTGCTCTGCTTCCGATCCAGTTCCCTACTTACGTGCCTGGAAACTCAGGGGAAGATGACCCAAATGCCTTGGCACCTTGTCTCCCTTGTGGGAAACTCTGATGCAGTTCCAGGCTCCTAGCTGTAACATGTCTCAGCCGTGGCCATTCTGCTCATTTGGAAAGCAAACCAGCAAAGATGTTCTCTGTATGGCTCTCCCTCTCCATCTTTGTAGCTTTATCTTTCAAACACATACAATGAATCTTTAAACAAAGAAACTTGGAGCGAGAGCAAAGTCTGCTTTAACAGTCACAAGACAGCTCTGTCCTTTCTGGGTGAGGGGCAAAGGGGGCGATTCTATGGCCATCTGGCATGAACTCACCCTGTAGCCCACTGTATTAGCAAACAGTTCAGTTCTTGTGAAGACTTCTTTTCCCTTTTGACCACAAGCCTGCCTACTTCTTATTTCCACCTGATGGTGTTAGTTCTGCTTTCAGGGCCTATAAGAACAGCCCAGGCTCTGGTACATATGTTCTGCACTCGGCCAAGATGTGAATTTGCTGTTTCGCTTTACTTGAAAAAACTTCTCCCATTTGCTTAACTATTTCTCATTGAAAATGGTTAGCTACAACGCAGCATTGTTTCCCTCCCCCAAGGGACCAGACACCAGATCCATATGGGAGCTGCCCCCAAACATACCCTCTTCAGCTTCCCGTGAGCATACCAGCATCTCTTGTTTTGGACACTGCATGGAATTTAGAGTTGTGATGTTTGCAAGCATCTAAAGCACTTAGTGCTTCTCATCTTGTCCTGCCTGTACTTCCCAAGGTGACTGTGTTGGAGTTTGTATGTGTGTGCATGTGTGTGTGTACATGTGCAAACAATACACATGCGCATCAAAGTACAGCATATTACATGGTCCTTATGAGACATTAAGGTTTTCTATTTCTGTGACTTTGAAAAGCAGATAAAAGGAAGGAGAATTGATTCCTTCCCTACAAGGCATATGTCTTACTGTCTGCTACTTCTCATCTCAAAATGAAATACAACAGTTCTGAATGTTTGCAGTGACCTTAAATGGTGCTGTGGAATTTGAATAGACTGCACATGGCCACATTACCTACCTGTAAAGGGCACATATGTCTTTGTAAAGTATTCACAAGTATGCAGAACCATAAGTTACTTTTCTCAGCTAGTGGCAAATATGTTACAAAGTACTGGCTTAAATTACCAGCATCTTTCTAAATATTACCCAAATTCTCTGCAAACAAAGCTTAGGCACTCAAGCATGAAATGTCTAGTTTGATGAGAATGCCCTGTGAATGCTATTTCTGTTTCTCTCAACTTTCTACAAAATGCAAGTAGGAGGCAGGGAATGACTGGCAGCAGGCAAAGGCAGTTTGTCTCTGCGGTCAGAAGTCGTCCTAGGATTGAGTTCCAACTTTATTACAGACCCAGGAAAGAGGCAATCTCTCTGAGCCTCCATGAGGTAGAGTTGTGTTCAGCTGTTTTGTAATTAATGAGGTTAAACGAAGACGTTAGAATGCTGGCTTCACAATCACATCACTTCCACCATCATCAGCCAGATCAACACTTTTCTTTCTCTGGCAAGCTTTGTGCCTCCAGGAGTTTTACCTACACAAGGCCATGACCAAAAGCCCACTGGGAAAAGCTTATAATAAATACAGGTGGTAGTAGCTAGAATGTTCTCGCAAATGCTAACACTAGACAAAAAAAAGGGGGGGTATGTGTGGGGCCTTTAAAAAGTTCATGGAAAATATATACTACTATTATTTGTTATAGCTAGACATGGATTTCAAACATTTTTTGTAAATTTTTCTTTTAACAAGGCAACAAGACTCTGACAGAGTCTACCTTCCCCTTTCATGCAATCTGATTTCTGCAACACATCATTTAAAATCACCTTTCTTTTTTTGGTTTAATATCTTGCTAACTTTTCTTTAGGGACTCCTTCAACATTAATCCTCACCAGAGAACACCAACAGCGAATGAGGAATTGGATTACTGGTCTACCAAGGTAGACCACCACAGTAACAGCCTTTAACAGTCTCTCCTTACTTTTCGGGAAGCATCATTGTTTTATCTATCTTCTTAAGAGTATGGGAACCCAGCATGAATCCTGATGACCAATACTTGGCCCTGTGTCAAACTTCAGGTTGGAGAAGCTCTGCCTTAGCTCAGCTTCCACAGCCCTGAGCCACGGAGCACAGACTTCGACAACAACATGCACAAGCACACATGCGGGGCCAGGCTCAAGAAGGCAGGAAGCATTTCTCCGAAGGAGGACTTGGAGGTGAAAGCTGCTCATGTCCAGGATGGGATGCTGCTTTGCTCACCAAAGCCACACATCACACACTAGAGGAGATTTCTAAGAGTTCAAAAATGGACACGGGACATTCTGCCATGAGGATAAAAAAGGTCTATTGGAGTTAGCTGGCCTATCCATTGCCATCATCTACCTCAAGAGACAGGCACTGGATTTATCGTACCAGATTTTATTTGTAGTTGTTCTTCCTTCCAGAGGATTAGGTGAGGGTCCAGACTAAAATTAGAATCAGTGAATATTAAGGTCTTACCTGTGGCTTGAAGCATGATTTCATCTTCACCTGCTTTATACTTAGGCAAATAAAATAGAGGCAGTATTGGGTTGTGACAAACTCACCAGCTTCAGCATCCATGGGCTACCACGGCAGGTGGCAAAGCATCCAAACAGGCCAAAAACGACGATGGTGGTGCCGGTTCCGATGAGAACATAGGGAGCATTTGTGGAGTTCTCAGCAATAAGGGAGATGTAGGTGCCAAGTGTGAGCTTGCCCCAGACTCCGACGGCCAGCAGGATCACCCCAGTGATCTGCAAAAGAGAAGAGAGTGTGAAACCATGGCTGGCAGTGATGGGACTTGACAGAGAGCAGCGTGGATTATCAGACTCAAGTTTCCAGGAGCAAGAGGGTACTGGTTGTAGGCTTCCCTAAACAATAGGAGATGTCAGAGACCATTAAGTAAAACCACCGTAGGGTAAAGACATTTTGTTTTTTACAATTAGATCTTCCCATTTAGAATCCCATATACAGCTACTGTGCTCAAGCCAACAATAAAGTATAAAATGGAAAAAAAAAAAAGAACAGTTGCTTAAACAGTATATCACAGGGTAAAGCTGGATTTAACTTCGAGAAGAATGTGAGTCTCCCTCTTTGATGGCATATGTGTCTGCTATATAGGGAAATCCTGTGCTATGCTGTAAGGAATCAGTGATTCTGTTTGACTATAATCGTAACCTCTTTCTAGAAGCGATATATCCCACACAGTTGGAATGCCCCATTCAAGTGCCTTCTCATTGACAATGCTTTATTCAAAATAAAACAGCAGAAGAGTCTGCACAGTTCCTGGAATTAGCTGTAATGTGATTTGTCAAATTGCATTGATCAGTCTAAAGGAAATCTCTACTGTGTGTTTAAACTCGCGAACCTTTCATCAATCAGGCCCTTGCTTCCAGAGAATAGACTCAGGGCCAATGCTGTGCCTTATTCACCACCCCCACTACAGGCTACACATTCTAGTAGCTTGGGCTGCAGAAGCCACAAGTTGCAGTCACTGTGTCTCTGACATACCCCAGGGAGTCCGTCCTTCAGTTGATCAACATCTTAGTGCAATTTTTCAAGTCAAATATCTCAGATCCTTGTCCAGTTTGCCTCCTCCAGTGAGCACACAAGATGAAATGCAACATGATACAAATCAATGCCAACCTTGCCAAAGTGCCCCCTGCCAATCAACACATTGTCCCTCAATGTCTGAAAGTGAGTAGCACAAAACACATGCGATAGCATCAATCAAATGACCGGGCTACAGAAGATGCTCAGGCCTCTCTCCTTTATACCCTGAAAATACTTCCTGGACTTTGCAGCCACAAAGTTTCAATATCCTATTTTTCATCCATGTAAGAATCAGAATTGACCCTATATTCTTCCCACATTAGCACAGGATAAGCTCTACTTATTTGAGTGGGAAGTTCGACAAAAACAAGATACTGGTATTCACCACAGCCCACAGCCCAAACAACAGTCTCGTGACTGTGTAGAAACATCAGCAATAAAGACAGAAAGAAGTTTTAAATGACAAAATTGAGGAACTACTGCTACTCGTATTCGGCAAAGTTGAATGATCATGATGCAGTCGTGAGGAAAAAGAATTTGACACTAATATGGTTGCGAGACGGTGGCCTAGGGCAGGTTGACTGCCCTTGAAAGTTCCTATTGCAATGGTCTTAGTGATTTCAGAAACCCAAGAATGAACATATGGCCAAGAGTTCAAAGTCCTTTGCTGACACCTGGTGGTTGCTAGAAAAAAGTACCTTCTTAAACAACCTCTTCTGTAGCACTTATCCAGGAAAAAAAACAAAATGCTTTTTTATCTGTTCGAGTCAAAATTCAAGCATCAACACTTAAGTCATCAGGGGCAAGAATGCCACAAAGGCTATGTACAAATGTACAGGGTTATCTTGTGTTAATTCCTATAATCATGTCAGATATAGAGTAAATGCTTGTTATTCATCAGCCACAGAATACATTTCATTGCTCTGGGTCTTACATTCTGCATTTCATAAAGCATAGGCTGTCAAGTGCCACATTCTTGCAAAACTCCTACATCGGGTAAATACTATGTAGTAATTTAAAATGGAATCAAAGAAAAATCTTCCCATACTTTCTACCACACTATTATCTGTTTAAAGCTGTAAATTTACAATGAAATAGAACCGAACAAAAAATAAGAATCCAGTTAAACAAATTGTTGTTTAAGCTGAATAGAAGCCACATATGGAGAAGTGTGGTATCATCGGCATGCTCCTGAAACTTCAATAACACTTTAAAGATGTCCTGAGCAGCTGTGCTGTATGTATGATTGATGAGCATTACAGGAATGCGACTGCTTTCAGAAAAACATAAGCTACTGATCAAGTATGAGAATCTGATCATGGGGTGGGTGGGTATTTAGTCTAGCAGTTAACATGCTGCTTGGGACACACACATTCCATAATGAGGTGCCTGGGTTGCGGCTTTAGCTTCACTCTAATTCCAGCTTCCTGCAAATGAGCACCCTGGGAGGCAACAAGTAGATGATGACTCAAGCACTTGAGTCACTGTCATTCATGTGACAGACCAAAACCAAATTCTGAGCTCCTGGCATCTGCCTGGCCCAGCCCTGGCTGTTGTGGGCATTGTGAGAGTGAGCCAGGATATGGAAGATTTATTTCTCCCTCTATGTGCTTCTCAAATTAAAAAATAATAGTAATAAATGTTAAGCGTCACTCCTTAAATAAGTCAGATGCCAGTGTCATGGTGCATGCTATTAAACCACTGCCTGTGACTCTGGAATCAGATTGTCAGTGTTCTGGTTCAAATTTCAACTGTTCCACTTCTGATTCAACTTCCCTTAATGCACTCGGAAAAGCAACACAGGATGGCCCAAGTACATAGGTTCCTGCTTCCCACACGGCAGACCTGAATGGAGATCTGGGCTCCTGGCTTTAACCCGGCCATGTTCTGGCTGTTGCAAGCATTTGAGGAATGTACTAAAGGAAGAAAGATCAACCTCAACTTCCCCTGGAAACCTGCCCCTCATGTCTTCACCGTGTCACTCCACCTTTAAATACATAAATACTTAAAAATAAGCAATCCATCCTCATGCAAAAGTTGTTTTGCACAAAAAGTGTACATGAAGCTTCCCCTCATGTAAAATACAAGGTCTACAAACCATTGGTTAAAATTGTTCATATAAGTTACACAATGCTGCAGTTTTTAAAACAAAGACTTTTTGCAGACCTCAGGGTCACGTTTTAAAGGATGTCAATGAGTGAAAACGAACATATCACTCTGCATACCATATTTCATGGAAGCAAAACTATCCAACATGCTGATCTTGCCCAAGTCAACAATCCTCTGAGGAACTCATTCTCCTCTGAGTGATGTGGGAACTCCTAGCAGCCATGTGCTAACAATCTAACGATGACTCCCAGTGGAATGCTTTTCACCAGTGTCGTTATCGTCATACTCAAACACCCCTGGTGGACCAGATCTGTACTTGGAAGCCTGTACTTCACACAAGTAAAGTGTTTTGTATGTACCACAGCCCATCTCTCCCGTCATCTTTCTCACTGCCCTTTCTGTGCTCTGTACAGTCTCAAGAAAACTAAGCTGCTCCCTGCACCCATTTTTTGTCGCTTTCTTAAGTGTACTATGTAGTACACCTATGTCTTGCCATGCCGTATTCCACTCCCATGTATACCATGGAGTGTGACTCTTTGAAAGTAAGAGCTGTGCCCCTTGAACATAATCAATGCTCAGTGCATGTCTGCTCAATGAATGAATGAGCAGCCGATGGTGGAGTTAAGAAAGGGCAGGAAGTTTCGTGTGAGTCAGATACCTGCTATACCTGCTATACTTTCTGAACCACTGCAAAGATCTATTAAAATGATGATCTGGACCCGGCAGCATGGCCTAGCAATGGCTAAAGTCCTCGCCTTGAACGCGCTGGGATCCCATATGGGCACCGGTTCTAATCCCTTCAGCTCCACTTCCCATTCCAGCTCCCTGCTTGTGGCCCGGGAAAGGACGGCCCAAAGCTTTGGGACCCTGCACGCACGTGGGAGACCCGGAAGAGGTTCCTGGTTCCCGGCTTCGGATCGGCACAGCACTAGCCGTTGCGCTCACTTGGGGAGTGAATCATCGGACGGAAGATCTTTCTCTTTGTAGATCTGACTTTGTAATAACAATAAATCTTTAAAAAAAATAAACATGATGATCCACTGAGCAGGCTGGTAGTCTGGGAGAACAGCAATGAAAGGATGAATAAATGATGCAGCAGACAAGGGAAGAAACGGTTTGAACATAGTGCACCCTTGAATGGGGCCATATTTGGTGGTGGTGGTACCAACGAACATAGGTGAGTAGTAGAAAAAGTTGCCAGTGAGCTGAGAAAAAAAAAAAGCTACATGTCAAGGGCTAAAGATACATAAAACACAATAAACCATCACTCTTGCATTTTTCCTGCCATGAAAATGCATCCTACCAATTATAACAGACACTCGCCAAAGACAACAGTCTGCGTCAAGTGGATGCTTTTTTTTTTTCCTGTCAGCACACACTTAGTCACCCACGCACGCATCGTTTCAAACACCCACAGGAGAGACATTTCGTAAACATTTGGAAGTTCAAAGTGAGAAGCAGGGGACAGTTTCTTTTGACATCTTGGCTGCTTTTAGGTGCAATGAGTCAGTTCAGAGCTCACCAAAGCAATTTGTAGCTGAGCTCCTCAGAGACCTCCAACTGCTACACGGAGCATTAGAACCTGTTACCTTTCCCACAGCAGGGTTTCCTCCTTTCTCAAAAGAATCAGTTCCCAATGTGGGAACCTTGTGGTTTGAGAAGGAGACAGATCACAGACCAGAAAGAACGCACATAAGGGCCCCGGTAAAGCATCACCTCACATGTTCCCAGAGCAGCAAGTAAGGAGGCTCTGCCCTCTGCTCATTCCCACCAACTCATTTCTGTCTGTTTACCCACGGCTAAAAATTCATGGGTAGTGGATGGGTAGTGGAATACCCCAGCCACTACTCATTCAGGAATGATGACTAGGCTGAATAAAACCGTAACTGTAGTACTTGGGAAAGATCTGAACTAGAAAACCTTTTATGTAACTGGATATATTACCTTAAAATTACATTAAAAAAAAAGGCAGATAGGTTTGGGCGTACGTCAAGAGATATCTGAAATGGTCTAGGAGACACTGAGTCTCATTTTCATCTTAAGAGAGATAACTAGGGCAGCAGGCTGCAGACACAAACGATTTCCCTTGCTC